AAGACCTGAAAGAATTTGCCAGCACCAGACCAGCTCTTCAAGAAACCCTGAAGAAAGTACTGTTCCAGGAAATCTAATGAGCTAACAGACAGAAACAAAGGAATAAAAGGCTGCTGTGACAATGGCCAACTTAAACGTCAGGACAGATCCAGTTATATCAATAATAACATTGAATGTGAATGGATTAAATTCCACAATCAAGAGACACAGACTGACCTAATGGATAAAAAAAAACCAGAGACCCTCTATCTGTTGCCTACAGGAAACCCACCTCATCAATACAGACACACATAGACTGAAAGTGAAGTGTTGGAAAAAAGGTTTTCCATGCTATAGGGAACCAAAAAAAAGCTGGAGTTGTGATACTAATTTCTGACAATATAGCCCTTAAAACAAAAACTGTTCAAAGAGACAAAGAAGGGCACTATATTGTAGTAAAAGGATCAATAGATCAAGAAGATATAACTCTTATAAATATCTATGTGCCCAACATAGGAGCACCCAAATATGTAAAGGAAAGATTGTTAGATATAAAAGGGGAGATATACTGCAAAATACTAATTGTTGAAGACCTCAACACTGCACTATCCCATTGGGACAGATCATCTAGACAAAAAATAGATAAAGAGATAAAGGATCTGAATGATACCATAAATGAAATGGACTTAACAGACACCTATAGAACTTTCCATCCAAAACCATGAGATAAACTTTTTTCTCACCCCCACATGGAAACTTTTCGAAGATTGACCACATCATAGAGCACAAAGCAAGCCTCTACAGATTCAAAGGCATAGAAACTATTCCCAGCATCATTTCTGACCATGATGGAATTAAACTTGAGCTTAATTTCAGGAGAAATCCTCAAAAATACTCATATACATGGAAACTAAATAACCTACTACTGAATGACTCCACAACTACTGATGAAATAAATTTCAAAATAAAAAGATTCATGGAAGCTAATGACAATGAGGACACAAGTTTCCATAATCTTTGGGACACCACAAAAGCAGTCATCAGAGGGAAGTTTATAGCCACTAGTGATCATAAGAGAAAGACGGGGGAAACCAGCAGTTGGCGTAATGTCTATGGACTATGTCACTGGATTCCCACGTAGTCGACTGCGGATCGCATCCCGGACCCGGTGGCTTAAAACTGACGCTGAGCGCGTGTGCGTGCGTGCCCAAGATCCCGAGAGGAGAATGGAGGAGAAGGGATTGCAGCGTGACCATCCCCCCTAGGCGGTGATTTCTCGCTTTCTGTCTCTATGTCTCTCTCTGTCTGTCTGGCAAGTGAGCGCAAATGCCCTATAACAAAAAACCTCTCCAAAAAAAAAAAAAAAAGAAAGACAGAAAGAAGGCAAATTGATCACTTAGCATCATGCCTCAGAGAATTGGAAAAACAACAGAAAAATGATCCAAAAAAAACTCCAGGAAAAAGGAAATAATAAATATCCGAGCAGAAGTAAATGAAATAGAAAATAAGCGAACTATACAGAAAATAAATGAAATTAAAAGCTGGTTCTTTGAAAAGATAAACAAAATTGATACACCACTAGCGAGATTTATTAAGAAAAAGAGAGAAAGAAACCAGGTGAATCAAATTTGCAACGAAGCAGGGAATATAACAACAGACAAAGCAGAAATACAGAACATAACTAGAGGATATTATGAACAACTATATGCCAAGAAACAAGACAATCTGGACGAGATGGACAAATTCCTAGACACGTATAATCTACCAAGATTGAGCCAGGAGGATATAGAAAGCCTAAATAGGCCCATAACAAGCCAGGAGATTGAATCAGTAATAAATAACCTTCCAACAAAGAAAAGCCCTGGCCCGGATGGATTCAGTTGAGTTCTATAAAACTTTCGAAGAAGAGTTTACCTCCATTCTGCTCAAGTTATTTCTAAATATCCAAAAAGGTGAATCTCTCCCTAATTCATTCTATGAAGCCTCCATAACCCTTATCCTCAAAACAGATAAGGACAGGACAAAAAAAGGAAAACTATAGACACATATCTCTGATGAATATAGATGCAAAGATTCTCAACAAGATACTAGCAAACCGTATCAAACAACTTATAAAAAAAAGACTATACATCATGATCAGGTAGG